TTTAAGGGGCAAAGAGAGGCCTAGAGAGATGGCTCAAGGGTAAGACCATATTCTGCTCTTAAGGAGGGCCCAAGTTTGACACCTAGTACCCATGTCTGACAACTCACAACTCCTATCACTCCAGCTCCAGGGACAACCACACTCTGGCCTCCAAGGGCACGGGCACTCACATGCACATTCCAGGGACAGACATGTCTCCAAGAAGACACGCAAATATCCACCAAGGACAAAGGATGCTCTCAGCTGTCAGGCAAAAGCAAATAAAAAAAATCACAGTATGATGCCACCTTACACCCACTAGGAAAGCTATAATTAAAGACAGATAATAATCGTTGGCAAAGATGTGGAGAAACCGGAACTCATCACAGTGTGAGGGAATGTCAAATGCCTGGCAGTATCTCAAATGGTTACATACAGAATAACATATAATTTAGTAATTACACTCCTAGAACTGCATCCAAATATAATAACACGTAGCCACAGGAGGACTTAAACACAAATGTCCTCAGCAGTGTTATGCCAAAGGAGAAAACAAATGACATTCCATTCAGGGTGGACAGACAGACTGTGGCATGCTCGCACAGACTCTCGCCGTACAGTAAGAAGGAAGTCCTAACCGGTGCTCCTCTGTGAGTGAACTTTGAAACAGGCAGAGTGTAAGACAGAAGACAACATCTATAGAGCTAGGAGGCAGAGAGGCCACTAGACTGGGGAGGGAGGATGGCAAAACGTGAGGATTTTGATGTTTCCTTTGGGATAATAGAAGGTCCTGACATTGATCTGCTGGCTGCACCACAAAGCTGAGTACACTTAAGGTTTTGGAACCGTGAATTTCAAATGAGTAGTGTCCCCATGTGGCTGAAGTTGATGTCTGACAATGTGAAGAAACAGATTTACAAACTGGCTATGAAAGGCCGGACTCCCTCCCAGATAGGAGGGAGTGATCCCGAGGGACTCACTCAGCATTTTATCACCGTTTGTTACTGGTAATAAAATCTTGAGACTCCTTATGTCCAAAGGCCTTGCCCCTGATCTCCCTGAAGATCTCTACCATTTGATTAAGAAAGCCGCTGCTGTCCTCAAGCATCTTGAGAGAAACAGAAAGGAGGTTCAATTCCACGTGGTTCTGCTGAAGAGCAGAACTTGCTGGCTGGCTGGCTGGTTACTATAGACTAAGCGGGTCCTCGTACCCAATTGGAAATATGAGTCATCCACAGCCTCTGCTCTAGTGGCATAAGTTCTCTTGTGTGCACAAGCAATAAAATCACTTAGAATAACAATAAAAGGACTCAGTGGTTAAGAACACGGTTGCTCTTGAAGAGGACATGGGTTTGATTCCCGGTATCTGCACAGTGAGTCACAACCATCTCTAACTCCAGTTCCTGGAGAGCCAATGTTCTCTTCTGAGCTCCTTGACCACGAAGCACACATATGATACACATGCATAAAAGCAGGCAAAACACACATAAAATAAAATAAATAAGTCTAATAAATTTAAAAATAGGGTTAGGCATGGTGGTACATACCTTTAATCCCAGCACTCAGAAGAGTTCAAGGCCAGCCTGGTCTACAAATCAAGTCCAGGACAGCCAGGGCTCTGTTAAACCCTGGCTCAAAAAAAATTAAACATAAAATAAAACCTTTCTTAAAGGAGACAGCAAAAATCTAAACAATAATTATTCTGGAGGGCTGGAAAGATGGCTCAGTGGTTAGGAGTATAGGCTGCTCTTCTAGAGGATCTGGGTTCAATTCCCAGCACCCACATGGCAGCTCACAACTGTCTGTAACTCCAGTTCCAGGGGATTTGGGATCCTCATATAAACATACATGCAGGCAAAACACCAACACACATGAAATAAAAACCATTAAAATAATAATAATAATAATAAACATTTTCTTAGTTCTCCATTTTTGCTAAGATTTTAGTGTGATTTCTTTTTAAGATATTTTTATACTTATGCATATGCGTGTTCTGCCTGCATGTATGTCTATGTTCCATATGTGTGCCTGGTGCCTGCGGATACCAGAAGAGGGTGTTGCATCCCCTGGAACTGGAGTTACAGACAGTTGTGAGCCACCACATAGATGCTGAGAGCCCGGGTCCTGTGCAGGAGCACGTGCTCTTACCCAGGCTGATGCCCTACGCACCGATGCCCTACGCGCCTCAGCTGCTATTTGACACTACGTTCTCCAGGGCAAAGGTGCCGTCTCTATCTTAAAATCCCTCCCCTATCTGTGCTCCTACTAAGTCTAGCGAAGAACACATAACTGGTGCTTAAATACAGAGATACCCTCTAAGAGTTCCCGTAAGGTGATTTCAGGGTGGAGGGGGAAGCCGAAAGGTCATTTCTCATGTGACTCCTCTTAAACGAGAAATACTTTCCTAAATTAAATCTCTCCACTTCGGTTAAGTATCAAGAACTTGAGAAGAGACATAAGTCTCTGCTGCTCCTGAAGCGCTTTCCTGCGCATCACTGTCACCCAGGCAGTGCAGACAAGGCTGACGGAGGCCTGGGTCCTCAAGGATGCTGGACCATGGCACTAATTCCCAGCAGACATCACTCTCAAGCCTTTGAGGCTCAATTGCCAAACCACAGGGAAAACAAAACAGAACAACAACTCACTAGCTGCCAAGAGGGGAACAAGGCTTGAACTACAGGGAAAGAGTGGGGAGAAGGCACAGAATCTCTGCAAACATTCCTTCAAGTCATGTGGCTTCCTTCTCTGAAACACCTTACTCCACTTCCATGGTCTAACCAAAAGCGCCTTTAAACAAATGTCCCCCAAAGCATGAAACCCCTCATTAGCAAACCCCAACTATGAAGCTCATCAAGACCAGGAAAAGTTGAGGAACTTTCACAAGCAAAAACAGCCAAAGGAGCATGACCATAAGATGTGATGTGGCATCCTGGAATGGAAACACACATTGGGCAAAACTACTCAACTCTAAATAAAGCAATTTGAGTAAATGATGTTCATTAAACAATATGGACAAGGACTGGTAAACTAAAGGAGACAAGCAGCTCACATTTATGTAGAATGTCAGTCATGAATGCAACCGGGTGTTGAGTGTGGAAGAACCTGCTCTCCTATTTTCACAATAACCCTAAAGCTGTCCTGAAATAAAAAGCATATGTTCAAAAAAATTAACACTAGCTGCCAATTTGGCCAAGCAGGATCCTAGTTTAAGGACGTCTTCTGTTTTAAGATGGCTGCTTCTTCTCCAGGCATCTTAAGTGACTGGAAGGCAAGATGCAAAGCTGCAGGGTTGAAAAGAGCAGGCAGGACTTAACGGTGGCAAAGCAGATCCTGAGGACCCCATCACATCCAGCCCAGTCCTAACCACATGGATCTCCTCAAAACCCTGAAGACACCCAGTACTCAGAGCATGCACAGCTTCATCCAAGCATGGTGGACAAGAAGGTTAGGAAGGCGTAGTAGCAATGTAAAACAACTGAGCAATGCTGGACAGCATTCATACAAGGTCTTGTTAACACAAGCTGCCCTGCTCCCTAAGGCCCCCAATAGCCCCTAAAGACAAGGTGGGCCCAAATAGTAATTACCTTAACTTAAAGGCCTCGGAGAACTACCTAATACATATGTTGACTATTCAGTCTTTATAGTTTTAGTTCTCACTGTTAAAAATAAACCAGCATGGAGCTGTAAAGCGGTGGGCCCATATCATGCTGCATCAACACCGAGGGGCACGTGGTCTTCCTGCTTGCACTTCAAATAAACTGCTGTGGTCGTGAAAGAGTGGTGTGCCAGGTGCCTGCCCTGTCAGCCACAGTCTGAAGCCTCAGCTTCACCCTGTTGGTAGGCAGCCAAACCTCGGGGAGAATGTCTGCCAAGGGGGAAACGCAGCTTCAGTGAGACTCACTTCCAGGCTTCAATCTCTCTGTTGTTGTTTGTTTTTCCAGACAGTGTCTCATACTATAGTGGAGACTGGATGGAATTCATTATGTGGTCCAAGATAGCCTTGTAGGTGTGTGCTAGAACACCTAGCCACCAAACTTCAATCCTTTAAAGAGGTGGGGTGTCCTCCTTTTCAAGGAAAAAAAAAAAGTAATAATGAAAGTGAAAAATCTGAGCTGTATACTGTAGCTATATACAGGGCTGTTCTGGGCCAGCTTGGGAAATGAGGTGATATCTTATATCAGAAAAAAAAAAAAAAAAGAAAGAAAGGAAAGAAAGAAAGAAAGAAAGAAAGAAAGAAAGAAAGAAACAAAGAAACAAAGAAACAAAGAAACAAAGAAAGAAACAAAGAAAGAAAGAAAGAAACTAACTTGAGCCTGGTGGTATATTCCTGCAGTCCCAGATACAGGCTGATGGAGGCTGAAAGTTCAAGGCCCACTCAGCTACAAAGTGAGCTCAAGGCCAGCCTGGGTACTCAGTGAAAACATGTACCCAGAGAACAAAGTAAAAAGGTTAGGGTACAGCTCAGCATAGAGTGTATCATAGTACCACAGGAGAGACAGAGGGTGGGAGAAACAGAGGCAGAGGCCAGGAAGGCGGCTCAGGCAGGTAAAGAGCTAGCTGAAGAAGCTCCTCAGGCCACACTGGAGCCATGGGAAACACTGGAAGCAGAGGTGCATGTCTGCAATCCTGGCACTCTACAATCGAGATGGGAGGCAGAGGCTGAGACTCATCCAGAAGCTCATGAGCCAGCTAGCTGGGAGAACGGGAACACCCACACATCAGCACGACAGCAAGAGCCACTCCTGAAAGCTGCACTCTGATTGTCAATGTATGTGCATGCGCACACACTCAGTCATTAATTAGCATGTTTTTCAAGAAAGGAAGATGGGAGAAAGAGAAAAAAATAAAAACCTATCTCCCTTTATCTAAGAAGCTAGTAGAGCAGAAACTGTCACACATACTCTTGGTGGGTGTGTTCAGTATAAGATACAGAGTGAACCCATCATTGCAGAGGCAAAGAACTGAGCAGCACCCATAATTCAGGAAAAGCGAGAACCAAGCTGCAGTGACTTACTACCTACGGGAATGAGATGAGTGGGCTGCGATTCTTCCAGCTTGTTCCTCAACCAGTCGAAATCCTGGTATCTTCGACGGACCGAGTACTCTGGCAGGTCAAACTCCACCCTCGTGCTCTGCAAGTGAGAAGAGAGTGGGGGACCCGAGTAGGTGAGTAGGAGTGCACTCGGGCTCAGGGAAGGAAAAGCACACTTGGGATAATTAAATAAGGCAAGAACACACCTCCCTGCACCTGTGCTCTAGCCAAACACAGGGTTCACCACAGGCCACAAAGAAGGAGCTGCCCGCACAGTGGCTCCCGCCTTTAATCCTAGCGCTCAGCAGGCAGAGGCGGGCAGATCTCTGAGGCCAGCCTGGGGATACAGAGCAATTTCCAGGATAACCATTGCTACACAGAGAAACCCTGCCTCAAAAAACCAATCAATCAATCAACAGGAACTAATATGGAAACATCAGCTCTTTGGTTTGGATTGGTGGTGGTGGTGGTGGTGATGGTGGGGTGTGTGTGTGTGTGTGTGTGTGTGTGCGTGCGCGCGTGTTTTCTCCTACCCTCAGGAAATGAAACTCAGCTATTCTTGAGAATTGTCTAGAACATTTGATTCATTTCCTCTGGCTTATTTCTGAGAGGTTTGTTGAGGGTTTTTTTTTTTTTTTCCACAGAATAATACAATTTCAGATACTGCTGCTGAACTGACAAAAATCCCTGAAAAGAAATGACGTCTGCACCTCCTGCTACATATGCCGCTGACCTTGCTGAAAGCAGAGGGAAACCGTCAAGTAGACAACGAAGACTGCGGCTTAGCACGCAGCTTCTGCATGTTGCCAGGTATGGTGGTGCACGCCTTCAATGCCAGCACTCACAGCAGAGGCAAAGGAACTCTCAGTTCAAGGACAGCCTGGCCTACACCGTGAGTCCCAGGCCAGGAAGGCTACACAGTGAGACAAAACAAACAAACCAAAACAGTCAGACATTTGCTTCATCTGCCGTATTCTGCCAGGACAGAGTGTGTCCAATACACTGCATTCTAGAAGTGATGAGGAATCATCCAGAAAGAAAAAAAAAAAAAAAAAAAAAAAGCCATGACACTGTATTCTAGATCTAGATGAGGAAATATCCAGAAAAAAAAAAATGCCAGTGTGCTACAGAAAATAATAACAATCTGTGCTGAGCCTGAATGTTTAAAGTTCTCTGAAATGCAGATACATCACTTTAATAAAATCAAGTTACAAGCGCAGGCCTGTGTGACTACGCCTTGCACAGTGGATTGATTTGGGCAGTCTCTTTCCCCAGCTACCTTAGGGCAGGACCCTGCGGGGCCTGCAGGCAGTTTTCTCCTCCTTTAAGATGAGATGGATGCAGGTTCAAATGGACAGACAGGCGTCCTGTCTGACTCCTCCCCAGGACAGCTTTCCCATCTGAGCTGTTTTAATAAACTTTTAACTCCAGCACCCACAGCAAACTTTAATTTCAGATATTCGCTGTGACATTTGAAAAGAAGGCTAGGAATTCCATGTGTCCGCTGGTTATACCTCTTATTAACTGCTATCTTTTCTCAGATACAGCTTTCCTTTCTGGAGGTGTAGCAGCAGGTGCTGATCTCAAACATGAGACCAAGTATGAGATAAAAATGGTATCAGCCACATTCTACAAATTTATTCTTTCAAGCCCAAAGTCTGTTTTAATCCGAGGCATCAGAAAAATCTTAAAAATACCTAAGGAAGAGTCATCTACCAAACAAGGCTGTGAACAGCTTCAGCTCTGACATTAATGATGTCATCCTCCCCAAAGCTGTGCTCCAGCTCCCGCTCCAGTCCCTGAAATCATAAGCACCCATGAAACGCAACCCTTCTATGCCAAAGCAGGCAAAATGGGAAGACTCGGGGACACACACCACAAAGGGACTGCCCGGGTATCAGAAGGCTTCCTGGAGAAAGCGGAACTGTACATGAACTCAGACCCAGAATGACAGGATGGCCACAGATGGGCCATGTTGTGCTCTGTAGCCCTGGGCAAAGCCCAGATCTGAGAACTGCACCTGGCCTCCCTGTGCTTTAGTTTCCCCAACATGAAGAGCAGTGAGAGAGACGCTTTCAAGATTCCTCCTAACACCCAAGACTCCGGAACACCTATGGACAGTGATGAGGGAGAGCAACCTGTTTTTCCTGTGAACGGGGAACCAGGCCTCTTCCTCCAGCTTCCTAAATGTTTCATGATCAAGGCAACCATGTTTCTTATTATGTTTGCCAAACCACCTCAATAACCCACCATTTATGTAACATTTCTACTCTATGAAATCGATACATGGTAACTACAAAAGTTACAAGTAAAAGCTGTGCTTTTCACCCTTCTGTCAGGTTATATTTGCTTGCTTGCTTGTTTTTGGCTTTTTTAAGATAGGGTTTCCCTGTTTGTCCCTGGCTGTCCTGGACTCACTCTGTAGACTAGACCAGCCTCAAATTCACAGAGATCCCCTGCCTCCACCTCCCTGGTGGTGGGATTAGAGGTGTGTACCATCACCACTGGGCATATTTTCTTATTTTAAAACTTCAAGAAAAATAATAAATGAAAATGGATATAATCCCCCTAATAGAAAACAAAATTAATATTTAAAGTTTATAAATATAAATTAATATTTAAAGTTTATAGACTATGCATATTCATTCAGTTTCTGTATCACTTTAATACATCCTGAACAACTTTATGCCCAGATCTTTAAAATCACTTAACACATATATAATGTTCAACTAAGTGGCTATAACATGATTAAACCAAATCCTTACTTAAATTGTTTCTGATTTTTAAAATCAGTAAACAGTGTTACAATAAACATCACTGGGTATCCACTAATATCCCATTAAACATCATTAATCCCACTAAAATAAATTCTTAAGAATAAAATTGCTGGATTAAAAAATACATTTTTTGGTTTAATTTTGAGATAGGGTTTTACTGTGTAGTCCTGGTTGGCTGGCCTGGAACTCACTTTATAGACAGCCTGGCCTTGAATTCAGGGATCTACCTGCCTCTGCCTCCCAAACGCTTTGATTAAAGATGTGCAGCCCCATACCCACCAAGGCAGGGTCTCCTGGTACCGAGCTGTGTGTGCCAGCTTCTGGGAACCCTCCTGCCCTGACCTCCATCTTGCAGTAGCAGCACTGGGATTGCAGCTGCACCGCCATGTCCAGTTTTACATGAGGTCCAGGTTTCAAATTCTGGTCCTTACTATGTGTGGCAAACATTTTATCCACCAAGTTATATACAGTGTATGGGTGCTCTGCCTGCATGTGTGTCTGTGCACATTTATGTACCTGCTGCCCGAGGAGGCCAGAAAATGACATCAGATCATCTGGAACTGGAATTGGAGCTGTCATGTGGTGCAGGGAATTGAACCCAGATCTCTGGAAGAGCAGTCAGTGCTCTTAACCACTGCATCAAAATGCTTGTGTTTTAAAGGCTCCATTAGGGACCGCAGGCGACGCACTGCAGCAGGAGATTTTGTTCTGACACAGCAAGTACATATCATCATGAAACAGAAAGGCTCGTTCTTCGGCTCAAAATTTACTTATTTTTACCACAGCTTGTTCTCTGAAAGACACACTGACACATAAAATACAATCCAATGACATAAATTAGTAATAGGTGAGAAAGATACAAGAAAAGCAAGGACAGGGAGTCTAGGAAAGCAGAGCCAAGAGTGAAGCCAGCGCAGCATACTTGCAACACAACACTGCAAAGCTGCTGAAAGTGGGCCACACGCATCACTGTGACTTTCTAGAGAGAGGCTGAGAGAGAAGACTCACATGTTCATAAAACATGTCAATCACAAAACTCCAGAGAGGAGTAGCCAGTTTTCCTCTGTGAAACTCAGGGTTTCTATGCTCTAATCAGTAAGCAGAAAAGAAGGAAGGAAGGAAGGAAAATGGGAGGGAGGGAGGAAAGGAGGGAAGGATGAAGGAACGCAACAACATTCCCATCATCAGAGAGAACCCTACCTTGTCCTTCCACACTGTGTAGAGCATACAGAGATCAGCCTCCACTACAGTCAGATCCGAGACCGTAACCTACACAGAGGGACTGGGGGAGCTCACCACGCTGGGTGCACTGCTGATCCGCGTGAGCACCCTCTACTCATCTGTGCAAACGTGGTACCAACCCACAGTCTAGTAAACACCCCGCAGGACAGCCGGGACCTAGACCCCACAACCACAAAACCCTCCACGCCTAGAAGGTGTAAGGCTCTGCAAAGCCCAACGCCCTACGGAACTTCTATCCCATCGCCTACATTATGGGAACCCAAAGATATTGACAGACTTTTTAAAAATCTAAATTGTACAACAGCACTCTCCAAAGGCAACAGAATTCATGGTGGGTTCGATGAAACTGACCAAAATTCTAACCTAATTTAGGCAGCTGCTAGCTTCTACACACTCAAAAGCTATAAATGTCCTCTGGTAACACCCGAACCTTTACCAACATCAGGCAAAAAGCAACATACTCTACAGCAAGATCCCCAACACTGCCAAGCAACACCAACTCTCCCTGCACCAAGCAATCTCATCGCTCCTCACTGCACCAAGCAACCTCAACCGTCCATCACCACTTAGTAAAAGGCTGTAGACACCTTAAAAATTTCTAAATTCTGCTTCAAAACCTCCCTTTGTTCCTTCTAGATGACCCTGCCACTCTGTCCCAGAGAAAACTGCAGCTATAGACAAAGAACCCCTTAACTTCCTGTCATGAGACGGCTTCCCTTCCTTTCCCTATCCTCTATGCTGTCCTCCATGTAATCTCCTCACACCTCCCAGCAGCACCCATCCTTCTCTCCAGTCTTGACCGCTATGTCTACTTTTCTGCCAGCCCTGTCCATCTGGCTGTCCATCTTTCATCCTCAAAAATAAAAACATGTAAGCGTATTACAGACATAGTGACGTATATTTATAATTCCAGCACTGAGGAGGCAGAGGCCGGAGGATCAGAATAACTTCGATGCAAGCCTGGGCTACACAGCAAGTTTGAAGTCAGCAACTCTAACACACACACACACACACACACACACACACACACACCTCATTCAAGTGTTCTCTTGTGGTTACTGCTCTTGCCTGGTGCTTTGTT